GGCCGTCCGACCGCGGTGTCCTGGGGCCTGGGTCGGCTCTGGGGGGCCGGGAGGACCCTGGGACCGGCCGGGCGGGACGGGCAGAGGGCCGGGGGTGGGAGGGACCGGCCAGCCGGGGGGCTCCGGAGACCCCGAGGGGACCTCGGAGAACGCGGGAAAGGGAGCGGGGGAGGTGTCTGGCGAGACCGAGGGACACCCCCCCCAACCCGTCTCCGGCCAGCTGACAGGTTGGAGATTGAATCAGAGATCAGCGCTCCGGGTGAGATAGAAAGGGGTGTCACGGGGGGGGGGTCACTCGGGGCCCCCTGGGCGCAAGATAGTCCGAGGAGAGCGAGGGGAGGAAGTCCGGGAGCCTGGGACGGGCTGATCTGGAGGCGTTCGGACAGGAGAAACAGGGATGTGGGGGTGTGGGACTGAAAGATGGTAGTGCTAGGACTTTTGGAGTGGGAATATGGTTGCGAAGGGTCCCAGAATGAAGTGTGTGAGGTCCAGTCTCAGAGGAAACTTGCGGGAGCCCTGGCATGAGTGGCTGCAGAGAATGGGGAAGAAGAGGTTGTCCCTGGGAGTAAAGGCGCGGAAAGGTCTTAGGGTGTGACCTAGGACCCCCATTTTGGAGGTGTGGAGGAGTGGCGTTGGCTCTGAGAGGGACGTGCGGTGTCAGTCAGGTAGAGGGCCCTGAGCTGGAGGGGGCGTGTCCGGAGCTTTGCCAACATGAAGACTGGGGCGCCTGAGATGAGGAAAATCAGCCGGGGACCTTGGGGTGATGCATTAGGGGGAACATGTGTAGAGCAGAAAGGCAGAGTGAAGAAACATCTCAGAGGAACCCTGGGTGGAGATGGGTTTTTTTTTTTGGGGGGATACCCCTCTCCAGGATGTATGATAGAGGGAGGATTTGGGCTGGGTTTGTTGACCTTGAGAATCGTGGGTCCCTTTGGACAGTGTCTGGACAAGTCTGAGGCCCCAGAAAAGCTGAAGATTTGAAGCGATTTAGGGATGGGCCGCCAGGATCTGAGGGTTTCTGGTTGGGGTGTTATTAGCAGGAGTCCATACTTGCTTCTGGCAGCCCAGCCTGCCCTGGCTGATTGGCTGTTTTCTATCTCGTTGAAGTAGGAATCTAAGTAACCAGATGAATGGGGAGCGCTCTCCCATAGCTGCATCTCTCCCTCCCACGGGGCTAGTCTTAGCCTGTCCTCCCCTGAGAGGCTGGGGCTGGGGTGGCTCAGGCACCTTACATAAGTTATCTGCATTTGGTGGCCAGCTCTCTTCTTCCAAAACTCTTTCTTAGTGTCTTGTTTTAATGTATATATATATATATATATATATATATATATATATGCACATACATATATGCATGTGTATATGCATATACATATATATCCCTTTGTGTAGGCAGGGCCAGTGTTGCTACCTCACTGGGCAGCAGTGACACCTGCTGTCATTCTGTGCATGTTATGTGCTGGATACTGTGCTGAGCACTTTGGATACATGTTTCATTCTTGCAGTATTCTGGAAGGGCAAATGACACTATTCCCTTTTTTAATCAGCAAAGAGAGGAAGAAAGGGCTTTGAGAGGACAAATGATTTATGAAGGATCACAGCAATGATTGACAGGTCTTGTCTGTGTATCCCATCCTCGTCCCTGCCCCCTGCACAGGAGAGAAACTGGCTCTGGGAAGCTTGGTGGTTTTCATGGGTCACAACCTGAGCGACATAGCAGAGCTTAGGCTGAATCCTGGTCTTGGGACTTCTCACCAGTACAATTGTACATACAATACCTCCTATCTATACTTACATACCTATCTGCTCTATTCCTCTCCTTCCCTCCCTCCTCTTTCTTTCCCTTTTTTTTTTTTTTTGTACCAGTCTTAGGGCTTAAACTCAGAGCCTGGGCACTGTCTCTGAGGTTTTTGTTTTTGTTGTTTTATCTTTTGCTTCTCAAAGTTGACACTGCCACTTGAGCCACAGCTCCACTTCCAGCCTTTTGGTGGTTAATTGGAAATAAGCGTCTCAAGGACTCTTTTCTGCCCTGGCTGCAAGCTGTGATCCTCAAATCTCAGCCTCCTGAGTAGCTAGGATTACAGGCATGAGCCACCAGCACCCAGCCAGTTTTTCTCTGCACCCCCCCTTTTTTTTGGTTGGTCGGTCATAGTGCCTGAACTCTGGGCCTGGGTGCTGACCCTCAGCTCTTCAGCTCAAGGCTAGCGCTCTACCACTTGAGCCACAGCGCCACTTCCAGCTTTTTTCTGCTTATGTGGTGCCTCATGCATGCAAGGCAAGCACTCTTCCACTGAGCATTCCCCAGCCCCCAGCCAGTTTTTCTTAATGAGAAAAGATCCATGTCTATTTTCTAATTTGGAGTTTGAGAACCTGGTGGAGAGCATTCTGTTAGCGTCTCTGTTGTCCAGGTTCCAGCATCATCATCACTTCACCTTTCACTTTTCTTTTGTTACATTAGTAAGAATTCAGATACCTTAGGTGTATGTGTGGGATACATGTGCATGTGTGACACACACTTGAACCATATATATAATGTTTTTTTTCCCTCTCTCCTGCCACCCATTCTTGCAAGGTAGGGTCTGGCAGAGCTCTGTCCTTTTTCCTCAGCTTCCCGAGTGTTGGGGAGGCCAGGCGACCACCACCGTGCCTGGCTTTCTCATTACTTCTGCTGACTAACTGGTGTACCATTGCTTGTGTAGTTGGGCCCTGTGGATAGGCGTATGGGTGGGTGTCAGTTTGTTGAGGTAGAGGGGTGGGGTGTGTTCATAAAACCAGGGCTTGAGCAGGCTGCCTCGCCAAGTTGCAGCCCTTTCTCCAGCACCTCCCAGACACCTTTCTTATGGAGCTTGTGCTGTGGGAAGGGCGACTTCCTGTGATCAGGAAGTGCTTGGGACATTCTAGGGGAAAGGGGGGGACAGGACTCTGTGGGAGGCATCCAGCAGGGAGCTGCCTACTGATTATAAGCAGGAACTAATGGTTATGGGGGGTGCTGAGCAGTGGTCCAGGTGGTCTCTGCCCTCAGAGGCTAGCATAGGAGGCTGGTTTGGGCTGGAGAGGGAACAGCATGTACACACACACACACCAGAGTCCCAGTGAGAGGGAGCAGCCTCTGTCCCCACCTCCCCAGGGACCCTAGGGTTCCCTGACCCCATCCCTGCCAGCAGCACCTGAAGCTTGGGAAGAGGAGAGGAGCCCTACGGGGGACCTGGGACAGAGGTCGCAGGAGCCAGGAGAGATGGCAGCCAAGCCTCCTGAAGTAGAGGGTGTGGGGCATGTTTGGGGGCTGGCTGTGGGGGGAGAGGCTGGCAGTGAGTAGGTGGCAGAAAACAGGGAGCCCACCTGCCATGCTGCAGACCAGATCAGGTACCTGGAGGCCTAGCAGCCCACAAGCTTCTCTTTTCTGGGGAAGATGCCAGCATCCCACATGCGTCAGCCACACCTTCTTCCCTTTGCCAAAGGAACTGGGGGGTAGACAGCAAAGCTGCTAGGTGTGCTGAGGAGGGGGTCAGGGCTGGGGTCCTATGTCCCACTGTACAAATGGGAGGGCCAAGACCTATCACCCCCCCCCTCTTTTTTTTTGTTTTTTGTTTTGTTTTGGTTGGTTGTGGGGCTTGAACTCGGCTTGGGCGCTGTCCCTCAGCTGTTCTGCTCAAGGTGAGCGCTCTACCGCTTGAGCCACAGCACCACTTCCGGTTTTCTAGTGGTTTATTGGAAATAAGTCTCATGGACTTTCCTGCCTGGGCTGGCTTTGAACCACGTTCCTCAGATCTCAGCCTCCTGAGTAACTAGGATTACAGACGTGAGCCACCGGCGCCCGGCATTCACCCTTTTTTTTTCGTCCACTGTTCTGTCCTGGTTCAGGCCACTGCCAGTCTCCTGGTATCACCTTTAGCTTTGCTGTGTCTCCAGTGGTAGCTGCTGACCTCTGGGACGCGCTCGCAGCCCTGCTGTGCTCGCAGTGCTAGGGATCACCCTTCATTCACCGTCCTCCACCTGTCACCTGCTCCATCACTAACCTTTCCCACACATTCCTGTGCCACTGCTTCAGCCCCTTGGAGGCCTTCATCCCCTTCTCCCCATTTCTGCCCACATCTCCTTCCCCCAACTCTGGCTGGCCTGGTGTCTTGGATCCCATCCTATCCCTCTCACATGGTACCTTTGTTCCTCCCCTTGGCCCTCGGCCCTGCCATGCCTGTCCACTGCACAGAGTCACGCAGGCCAGAGCCCTAGGCATCCCCACTGCTCCCCTTTACACTGTGTGGGGACCTGAGGTTGCTGGACAGGCATTAGGAGGGGTTCTGTCACCTCTCTGCACCCTCTGAAGGGATTCATGGTAGTCACTTTGGGATGGAGAAGACACATGAGGACAAAGCCTCACTTGTTGGACACAAGGGAGACCTGCTTAAATCGGTGCAGGAAACCAGTGGTTGTGCCAGGCCTGGTGCTCAGGCTGAGCTGCCTGGAGCCCTGGGAAGAAGCCAGCATGGGCTGGAGCTCAGGCCTTGGCAGATGGGCTTCTGGAATGTGGTCAAGGCCAGGATTCTGCCTTGAAGGCTATTGGCCCCATGTCTCCAAATGACCTGTTGACAGACCGGGGCAGCCCAAGCCAGCAGACAGTGTGTGGGGCTGGGCAGGAACCTGGCCGGAACCGTGGCACCTCTTATGCCTTATCCCACGGTGTGGTGGGGGCCGGGTGGCAGAGCTCCTGTGCTGCAGTGCTGGGCCCACCCACTCCTGTCCCTAAGCTCCAGAAGCAGCTTCCTACGCCTCCCAGGGACAGATGCTTTGCAAGGAATAGCGGGATACCCACCTCTCCCAGCTACCTCAGGGACAGCAGCTGACTGGGGCCAGGATGGGGGGGAGGGCTGGGCTGCTAATACCTAGCACCCCCTCCTGTCTATCTGCTCCCGACCCAGCTTCTCCCCAGGAGGCAGCAGTCAGGTTGGGCCTGCACTGGCTCTCTTTGAGTCTAGGGCTGCAGAATCCTCTTGGGCTTTTCTGGGGGCGGGGTTGGGACCTTGGAGGTGGTCCAGCCCATCCTCTCTCTGCTCCTTTGAGTCCTGGTGCCAGTGTGGGACAGGGCATCGTCATTGTACCTAAGCCCTGAGTTTCACTGTCTTTCCTTTCCCTCTGTCCTCATGTTCCCCAGGCTCAGGTGGCCTTCCTCCAGGGAGAGAGGAAAGGGCAGGAGAATCTAAAGACAGACCTGGTGCGGCGGATCAAGATGCTGGAGTATGCACTGAAGCAGGAAAGGTTAGCCAGCCAGCCTGTTTCCTGAGCTGGGCCATGCCCCTTCCCATCATCCCTCAGTGGGGGGGTAGAGCCACGTGTAACAGGTGGGACTCAGGTAATAATCAATTCAGGGTTGGCCTACCAGGTGCCAAAAGTGTGGCCGGTGGCCCTCTTCCTTCCCCTTCGGTGGCCTTATGTTGTCACGCCCCTGTTCGTTGGGGGGGGGGGGAAGGAATGGGACTGAGGTTTACCTCTTTAGGGAGTCCTGGAGCCGGGAAGGAGGCCTCTTGGCCTAACCCCATGGTATTGCCCCTGCCAAGGAGGCCAGCTTCTGAGATGAGGTGTGAGTGCTAGAGGCCCCAGGATTTGCTGATCTTGCCTACTACTCTCTCTTGCTCAGCAATCATTTGTGTGTGTGTGTGTGTGCGTGTGTGTTTTAGGGCCAAATATCATAAACTGAAGTTTGGGACAGACCTGAACCAGGGGGAGAAGAAACCAGACCTGTCAGAGCAAGGTAGCTTGTGCGCCCTCCTGCCCAGCCCCAGCTGAGCAGGAGGATTGTGGGGATGGGTCTGCTTGGTGGGTGGGGGATGGGTGTTCTCAGTGCCTGCCTTGCCTACCTACCATCTCTCCTGCTATAGATGCTGATTGTGCCCCCCCCCTGCCGCCGCATGGGGAGAGGGAGTGGGGCTATTTATAGGGTGCTGTGGAAACAGAGGAATGACTGCACAAAAGAGACACAGTGTTGCCTCTCTGCATTACTGTTCCATCATTTGTGCAGAAAATGTATTTATGGGGTGCTGGCTTTGTGTCACAGAATGGGCCCTGCAGAGAGCAGACAGCCACAGGCTCTGTCCTTGGGGCCCTTAAGTCTGTGCCCCTTGGAAGAGAACTCAGTTTCCCGCAGGAGAGTGGGGAAGGTGTGTGGGTGAGGGAGAGGGGCCGACAGTGGGGCTGGAGCCCAGAGTGGGCAGTGCAGTGCAGCCGTGCCCGCCAGGCAGGTCACCTAGATGCTCAAATACACTCGACGAAGAAATTCGTGACAAATGACCTAAGAGTATCCTCTTTTCAAGGGGGTGCATGGGTATCACCTCCATTTCTCAGAAGACAAAACTGAGGCTGTGATACATCACCTAACCTGCCCCAGGTCCCCAGTCTGCCCACTCTCCTACCCCAGGACCCTAGCAGCTGCCCACATTGGAGGGCAGAACTCTACTCCTGTCAGGGTTGGGCAGCCTGGTGAGCAGCCAGGCAGGAGAGGGACCATGGGGTTAGGAGGGGGACGGAGGTGTGACAGTGAGTAATGTGCCCTCACTGACAGCTCCTTGTCTTTCCTCTGGCAGTCTCCAATGGCCCAGTGGAGTCGGTCACCCTGGAGAACAGCCCGCTGGTGTGGAAGGAGGGCCGGCAGCTTCTGCGGCAGTGAGTGTGGGCGGAAGGGCAGGGTGGGAGCGGGGCATACCGCACATTTGGCCGGGGAGATAAGCCTAAAGTCCATAGCCCTTCCTGTCCTCACCAGGGCTGTCAGAGTCCCACCAGCCACAGCTGGGAGGGCCCTGCTGGCCTGCGCACACCTCCAGACAAAGTAGTCTTATGATTGGAGTTTTCTGCATTTGGGGAAACTTAGAAATTGTAGCTGGGAGTGAGTTAAACGACACTCTGCTTTTCTGCCCGTCTGCTGTGAGCTGTCACCTAAGAACCTGGGGCAGTTGGTCCTTAGCACCACAAGACAAAAGCTGTGCTGTGCTGTCCTGTGGGAGCCAAGGCTCTCAGCAGCTGATCCTGTCTCAGGATTTCCTTGAGGTGGCTTTTCAGTTTTCAGTCTGGTAGACAGGAAGCTGCCTAGCACTTGTGCAGGCACAGTACCTGCAGGCATGTGCCAGCTGGAAGTGGACAGGAGTAATGACCCCAGAGGATGTGTGAGCCGGTGCCTGTCCTGGCCCCTCCTTTGCTTGGGTGAGAGAGTTGGGTGCTGTTTGCCCCAGGCCATGCAAAGGTAAATACAGCCCACGGCCACCTTTGCCTCCTGGCTTCTGCCTGCCTTGTGTCAGGGTGCAGAGTCCAGGTATGAGTGCCTCACCACTGCTAAGGGACGAGGAACAGAACAGGCTGGGAGGGGGGGGTGCGGGGGGAGCAGCTGGCAGAGCAGCCAGGCCCTGCCGGCTTTCATCATTTCAAGCCACAGACATCCCTTTTTCTTTTCCCTTGGAGCCAGTCTCGGCTGGCTTGACTTGTAAGTTGCAGGGGTAGCAAGCACCCAGTGACAGCAGAGTGGCTGCCCACGCTCCTTCTGCAGCCCTAGTGCTCTGCAAAGTCCCTGTCGCCCCCTTGCTTCTTTGCATGCCTATTGGCATACCCCAAATGTATGTGGATGTTGTGACCCCGCACCCTCCCAGAGCCCCTGGGAGCACAGAGTGCACACCATGTGCTCCTGCGTAGCGTCAAGGGCCTGGGCAGTGGGGCTTCTCCTGGAGCTTGGCTGGCTGCGCTGGGCATGCTTTGCCCAAACTAGTGTCTTGTGTTCCCATGTGCTCAGCTGGCTGTGGCAGCACGTGAGCCCTGCAGCCTGTGAGGAGGCGGGCTGAGTGACCTGCCCTCTCTGCTGCAGGTACCTGGAAGAGGTGGGCTACACCGACACCATCCTTGATATGCGCTCCAAGCGTGTGCGTTCCCTGCTGGGCCGGTCGCTGGAGCTCAATGGGGCAGCCGAGCCCAGCGATGGGGGCCCTCGGGCAGCACCAGGTCCTGGGGCACTCAGTGGCGGCGAGTCTCTGCTGGTGAAGCAGATCGAGGAGCAGATCAAGAGGTGAGCCCTGAGGCCCCAAGGCACCTCTCCCCCTCCCCATGCATTGCTGGGGTGCTCAAGACTCACCCCACGCAGGCCTGCTGCAGCACAGAGCCATCTTCTTCATTTGCCACTCATCATCTCAGTGACAAGAGACAGCATCAGGGCGAAATGGGGGCCCCCAGCTCAGGAGGCAGAGGTGGGGGGGGGGCCGTCCCTTGAGCCCAGGTGTTCCAGACTCACCTGGCAATATAGTGATGAGGCTGCCTCCAAGTGGCTGGAGAGATGGGAGGCAGGTGGGGGGATGCCTGTCAGAGGGCAGAGGCTTCTGGCCGCACGGACGCTGGTGGGTCATGTCTACCGGGCAGAGGCTGCATTGGGCTGTGAGTGATTGGGATCAAGCTGTGGCCACGGAGCCTGGACATCTTCTGACCTGGGCTTTGTCCCCTGCCTGCCTCCCCCCCCCCCACCCGCCCTGTCACATGCAGGAATGCAGCGGGCCAAGACGGCAAAGAGCGCCTGGGTGGCTCGGTGCTGGAGCACATCCCCTTCCTGCAGAACTGCGAGGACGAGGACAGCGACGAGGATGACGAGCTGGACAGCGTGCAGCACAAAAAACAGCGCGTGAAGGTGAGCCCGTGCCCTCTGCCCATGTGCCTGCCCCGCGTGCCTCTCTGTCCCCTCCAGCAGGCTGGGAGAGGCACCACGCGGGGACTTAGTTTCTATGTGTGCTGCAAGCTCTGTAAAGGGTAGGGGTGGGGTGGGTGGGCCCAGGAGCTCAGCCCTGATAGGGCTGCTGTTGGGATCAGGACACTCCACTTGTGGTAGTGTCCATATCACCTCAGTGTGGCCTTGGCTTCTGCCTGTTGACACAGCCAGCATGTTTCCCCCTTAGTAGCCAGGGCATGGCCTTGGCTGAGCTCTGTGCTGGCTGAAAGGGCAGGAACCAGCTGAGGTGAACCAGCTGGTGGCTGGTGGCAGCCTTGTGGACAGTGGCAGAGGATGTGCTGTGGAGCAGGTGGAGGCCGCAGTTGGCTGGGTGCCTAGGGCACGGGTCCAGTTTGGTCTTGGTGCCTGCCACAGGTGATGGTTTGCTCGGCCTGCTTTCTCACCTGCAGGAGAGGACATGCAGAGGTCTTGTGGCTGGACACAGGGTTTGGGGGTTTAAATGAGCCTGTGCAAAGTACTTTGACAGAGCCTGAGTTCTTTCTCCCGCCTACCCCCTTTTTTTTTTCTGAGTGCCGGTCAGGGGAGGGATCTGGGGGGGCCTGAGTTTGAGGCCTATTCATTGTCCCTGAGATTTTCTTGCTCAAAACTAGCAGTACTCTACTACTTGAACTACAGCTTTACTTTCACCTTTTGGGGGTTTTACTGGAGATAAGAGTCTCTAGGTCTGGCTTCAAACTGTGATCCTCAGATATCAGCCTCCTCAGTAGATGGGATTATAGGCATGAGCCACTGACGCCCAGTTTATGAGTTCTTTTTGGGCTTGGTAGTACTGAGATTTTTCCCTTAGGGCTCCCTTTGCTAGGGAGCTCTACCACTTGAGCAGCGCTCCCTAGCTATGAGTCGGGTTGAGCCTGGTGGCTAGCTGGGTAAGGGGTGTCTGGCCACTCCACCCCCCCAATTGTGGAGCTCCGCACCCTTCTCAGAGATTTGCTGTGTGCTTTTCTTTCTGAGATGCCAGGCTGGGGCTATTCTGGCCAAGCTGGGAGGAAGGGGGCTGCAGGCACGGGTAGCAGAGGACACCCCTGCAGGGGTGCCCCTAGCCCTGGGGCACAGCTCGCAGGCCGTGGGCTGCTCTGAGAGGGTTGGTAGGGGGTTGGAACTCCTAATCTGCCTGCCTTCCCCTTTGCCCAGCTGCCATCCAAGGCCCTGGTGCCTGAGATGGAGGACGAGGATGAGGAGGACGACTCAGAGGATGCCATCAATGAGTTCGACTTCCTGGGCTCAGGAGAGGATGGGGAGGGGTCTCCGGACCCCAGGCGCTGCGCTGGCGAGGGGAATCCCCATGAACTAGGTGAGTTGGGGGACCTCCACCCACCTTCCTCATCCAGCAGGAACAGACCCTGCATGCTGCCCCTGGCGTGTGTCACCTGCAGCTGCGTCCTGCTCAGCCCGTCACCGGACGGATATGCTTCCCAGAGAAGGGGGGGGAGCGGGCAGCCACCCCCTTCCCTGGAAGTCCCCGTGGGGCCATGGTGGACAGCTCTTCAGGAAACAGAGCCTCCAGCCTCAAGAGCAGGGCTGGTGTCCTGGCCAGGCTATGGAGTGGACAGGATGAGGACTTTATAGGGGAAGTGGGTGGGGAGGGAGCTGCTCTGTGCTGTGTCTCTTGGCCAAGGGGCCTTGGGGTCACAGAGGTGAATGGCTGCAGACTGAGAACCAGGGCAGGGCCTTCCTTGTCCACTGCCCCTCAGAGAATCCCCTGTTCCCTTCACTCACCCCTGCCTGTCCTTCTGGGGCCCTCGCCATCACAGGAAGGCCCATGGTGGTGGAAGAGCAGTTACCCCACTCTTCAGGTGCTAGGCTGGGACTGGGGGTGACTTACGACTGCCTTATCCCTGAAGAAAGCCGTCGGGTCAAACTCCAGGGAATTCTGGCTGACCTTCGGGATGTGGACGGGCTGCCCCCCAAAGTGACGGGCCCACCTCCTGGCACCCCCCAGCCCCGGCCTCACGAAGGTAACCCCCTCCCCTAGTTGCCCTGGGGCCCACAGCAGAGGGGGGCTGCAGAGCTAAGCTCAGGGCTGCTGTGTCTGCAGGGGCGAGGCTCAGCCTCCAGTCTGTAGCCTCCCTGTCCCAAAAGTTCGTCTGTCTGTCTCTGTCTCCCTCTTTGTCTGGCCTGCCCTGTCTTGTCTGTCTCTCTGTCTCTTCCTTTCCAGCTGTGATTCTTGATCTTGTCCTCCCTGGCTCTCTTTCTGGCTCCTTATCTCTCTCTCTGCCTCTCTCTGTCCTCCTCTCTCTCCCTGGCCCTCTCTCCCCCACCTCCCCTCCCCCTACCAGGTTCCTTTGGCTTCTCCTCAGACGTTTTCATCATGGACACTATCGGGGGCGGGGAGGTGAGCCTGGGGGACTTGGCAGATCTCACCGTCACCAACGACAACGATCTCAGCTGTGATGTAAGTTCTTGGGGGCCCCTATGGGCCCCCTGCCCAGCGCCCTTGCCCAGTTCTGGGCAGGCGGCTGACCTGGTGTGCTTCCTTCTGCCCCACTTACCCATTGTACAGAGGCAGGTGGTACAGGTCTGGAAGATTTGGGGGACTGGGCACCTCGTCAGGGGCCCTCCCACCTTGGCGATTTGGGGTATGGGAAGATGGCTTCAAGCCAGATCACCCCCCCCCACCACCACCATACACACATACTTCAGTGTAGTCTGTAGTGAAGGACCCCTGGGTGTCAGAGCTTAGTGCCTGTGCTCTGTGGGCAGGTGAGGATGGTGTATATGTACCTGGATCAGAAGAGGGTGTGCCAGCATGTGCCATGGGCTGCTTTGCCTACCCCCTATTGCCTCCTGGGAAACCACAGGGACCTGGGAGGAGGGCTGAACCAGATAACGGGGTTCGTCCAGAGTAACCCCTCACTTGGGTCATGGCACTTTAGTGTCTGACGGCGTGTTCATCATTGCTCCTGAGCCCAGCCCCTTCCGCTTGTGGAAATGAGGGAGTCCCTGCAGGTTCTGACCCAGCCTCCTCCCATTGTGCCACTACCTCCAAACCCTCCTCTCTGTAGCTACTCTTCACCTCCCTTCATCCAGGCCTTTCTGGGGTCACCAAGACAAGCTGTATCATTCCCCTGCTCTAAATCCTGCAGTTCCTCATTCCTCCCCAGTCTTTTCTTAGGGGAATATACTCCTGGCTCCTGTTTTGCCCTCGTCTCCTGCCACTCTCCCCTTGCATGTGCAGCCCAGCTACACTGGCCTCTTAGGCTCTGGACCCAACGTTGGTGCCGCCTGCCGCAGGGCCTTTGCATGTGCAGCTTCCTTCTGTATCCCCTCCCCTTAGTGGGTTCTGCTTAAACTCTACGCATTTGCCACAGCCTTGAGAAAGCCAGGCAGGCCAGGCCGTCTGGTGGTCACTGGGGGTGCATTGTTGAGTGTAGCTCTGCTCTTAGCCTAGTTCCCATGGGCCTGTGGCTAGAGCTATTCATGTCCCGCCCGACTCCTCTCTGAGCTGTGGGGCCCGGAGGATTCGGGCCCATGTTTGTCAAGAGGCCAGTGCACTGGCACACGGGCTGAGGGGCTGTGGGCACAGGGCTGGGTCAGTATCGGGGGAGGGAGGGAGAGTGGGGTCCTCAGGGCTGGTGTCGGGTTCTGCATGGCTGCCAGGATGGCCAAGCACCACTGAGGCAGCCTCCCTGCCTCCCCACCCCAGCTGTCCGACAGCAAAGATGCTTTCAAGAAGACGTGGAACCCTAAGTTCACCCTGCGCTCACACTACGACGGCATCCGCTCCCTGGCCTTCCACCACAGCCAGTCGGCGCTGCTCACCGCCTCTGAGGATGGCACCCTGAAGCTGTGGAACCTGCAGAAGGCGGCCACAGCCAAGAAGAACACCGCACTGGACGTGGAGCCCATCCATGCCTTCCGCGCCCACAGGTCAGGAGGGAGGGAGAAGCTACTGGAAGCCTGTCTCTAGGCTGTGGGGGCTGGCAGCTCACCTCGGGGTCCTCGGCCAGGGAAGGTGAGCATCTGGTCCACTTCCTCCTCCAGGGGCCCCGTGCTGGCCGTGGCCATGGGCAGCAACAGCGAGCGCTGCTACAGCGGCGGCGCCGACGCCCGCATCCACAGCTGGAAGATCCCGGACCTCAACATGGACCCCTACGATGGCTACGGTGAGGACCCAGTGTGAGGGAGCCCTGCCTCCCCTCCTCTCGCTGGCTCACGGGCATGGGGGGGCAGCAGCATGTGCGGAGCCTGTGGCCGGGCCAGGGTCTCTCTGTGGCCGAGTGGAGGGTGGTGAGGATGGGCAGAGCAGGCACCATGGCATGGCGCTTGGTTCGCTTTCTGCCCTGCTCTGGCTCTCGATGCTTCCTCGCTCTTGGCCCTGCGCTAGGTCCCATCATGGGTCACGGCCGAGGGCAGAGGGCCCTGCCTTCTGGGAATGTGCGCCATCACTAGCCAATGGGCAGCCCACCCAGTGAGCCCCACACATTGGTGTCAGCAGGATGTGCCAGGGCCCCCCTACGCATGCTCCAATGGCCAGGGAGGCAGTGGCAAACAGAAAAGAGCACAGGGCCTAGTTGCTTTCTGGGGCCATCAGGGTGCAGGAGTGCCAAGCAGCACCCTCTGCTGCCCGGAGCTGAGTTCGGGGCCCTGGGCAAGCAACTGTTGGGTAGCTTCAGCACGGGTCTGCATGAAGCCTGTTTCCTCCCCAGACCCCAGTGTGCTGAGTCACGTCCTGGAGGGCCACGGGGACGCCGTGTGGGGCCTGGCCTTCAGTCCCGCCTCCCAGCGCCTGGCCTCCTGCTCTGCCGACGGCACCATTCGCATCTGGGACCCCAGCAGCAGCAGCCCGGCCTGCCTCTGCACCTTCCCCACAGCCAGCGGTGAGGGGGTGGGCGGCGCCCCGGGATGCCCGGGCCACGCCGAGCCAGCCTTTCTGACCCCTGCCTTTTCTTCCCTCTGCCCTCAGAGCACGGGGTCCCCACCTCAGTGGCCTTCACCAGCACCGAGCCCACCCACATCGTGGCGTCCTTCCGCTCCGGTGACACCGTCCTGTATGACCTGGAGGCCGGCAGCGCCCTCCTCACACTGGAGTCCCGGGGAGGCAGTGGTAAGGGGCTGGGTGGAGGGGCTCTGGGGAGGGGAGGAGGGGAGGGAGGGGCAAGGCTGCTTGCAGGTGACACAGGTGTCGTCTCCCCCCATTTGCAGAAGCAGCACGGTGGCCCCGTGGCCTGTCTCTGCTTCCACACTTTGTCCCTCACATCCCTCCCACTCCCCTCCATCAGGTCCCATGCAGATCAACCAGGTGGTGAGTCACCCCAACCAGCCACTCACCATCACTGCCCACGACGACAGGGGCATCCGCTTCCTGGACAACAGGACAGGTGAGGGCACGGAGCCAACTCAGACCCAGTCCTGGTGCCCCCTGGAAGCTCTCAGGTGCCACCCCAGCTCCCTCACCCTCCTGCTGATGCCCAGAGCGGGAAGGGAACCGGCTACCACCCTCCTCTCTCTCCAGGTAAATCCGTGCACTCCATGGTCGCCCACCTGGACGCCGTCACCTGCCTGGCTGTGGACCCCAATGGCGTGTTCCTGATGTCAGGCAGTAAGTGGGGACCACCATCGCTCCTGTGAGGATAGAGGTCACTGTCCTCTGGAGACCTGTCACCTGTGTCATCTATACTACCTGTACTGCCCCGGGACAGTGCAGAGGATGGCATGGTTCTTTGCCTTGCACAGCATGTGGGGAGGGGGGAAAGCTCCACCTGGGGGTGGAGCTCCCACCCTGCTGCCTTGGGCTGTACGTGCAGGGGTGTGAGGGTCTTCCACGGAGAGCCAGGGCTGCCGGGCAGGCCTGAGGCTTAGACTCACATGTGGCTGTGAGTGTGCACGTGTGTATTTGTGCACGTGCACAGGGATGAGCGTGGTGCAGCACATCTCTGGTTTTGCCTCTCTGCCATGCACTGGTGCTGAGCAGCCCTGCCCCAAACCCAGCAGCTGAAGTGTGTGCACAGTAGCACATGCACAGCATGGGGCCCATGGGTAATATACTTGCAGGAGGCATTCCGTTCTGGGAGCTGGGATACATGTTTAGCAGAAGGCATACTGTTCAGGGGGCAAGGGACTTCCTTGTGTGAAGATGTTCAGATGAGAGCTTCCCTGTTCCCAGCTAGTGCCTCCTGCCCAGCCACAGCCCCAGGCCCTGGACCCTCACACATCTGGCTCCTGGCAGTCACCCAGCTGTTGTGCTGTCTGTTGTCAGACACTTGGAGGCTGTCCCGCTATGCTTCACCTCCCACCCCTCCCTGAACTGCCACGGACCTCCCCTGGAGTGCTGGCTGCTGTGTTCTTAATGCAGGCTTTTGCATTGTGTTGTCTCTGGGGGGACCTGGAGGACCCCCCAGCCCAGCATGGGATTCCTGGGCTTTCCCTCAAGCCCCACCCCGTCTGCTGTGTTTTCATTCCACCTCAAGGCAGTGGCCACAGGACAGTGAACCTCCCAGGGCCTGGCACACAGTAGATGCTCAGTAAACATTTGGTGACTAGCTGGATGGTGGTCAGGATGGGCAGAGCAATGCAGGGAAGAGGGCAGAACCCTGCCCCTCTTCCCCCCCATGGAGGGGAGGCCTTTGGCTCCATGCTGGTCCCCACAGCTCCTACTCTTTTAGGCCACGACTGCTCTCTGCGCCTGTGGAGCCTGGACAACAAGACGTGTGTGCAGGAGATTACAGCTCATCGGAAGAAGCACGAGGAGGCCATCCACGCGGTGGCCTGCCACCCCAGCAAGGCCCTCATTGCCAGCGCTGGCGCCGACGCCCTAGCCAAGGTCTTCGTATGATGCCTGCCCGGCCTCACTCTGGCCACACGGTGGCTGCAGATCGGGGCCCGGCAGGTGGGGCGGAGGTGAGGGCATCAGACTTTTTCCTGCTGTGGGTGGGAAGGGCAGAATGCTCGTCCTTGCGCTGGACTGCCCTCACAGCCCCTCCTTCAGGCTGTGCCAAGTCCCCTAGTCCTAGGAAAATGGCTGACACGCCTCTGGGAACGTGGGGCGGCGCTGGACCTCGAGAGGAGCCCTAACCTATTGTCCTGGTCCAGTCTCCAGTCTCCCGACCTGAGTCTCTGCAGGCGGCTCCCAGCCTCCTCCCACCTGCCCCAGAGCCTGGTGGTGCTAAAGGCCCCTTCTCCAGAAATGCCCTGCCCCTTCCCCGCCCCTCCAGCGGGGCCCCAAGGCCTGCTCCTGCCATTGGCTGCCCTCCCAACTGCAGCGGCAGCCAGGACCAGGGGTCCTTGGGGGTCCTTTTTTTTCCAAGATGCCACAAGGTGCCAGATTCTGCCCTTGAGCCCTGCCCCGCCTCTGCCTCCAGCCTCCCAGTAGGGAAGTCTCCAGACACCCCCCTGCTGTCCAACACTAACCCGGCCTCTAGGACCAGGAATTGCTTGGGGAGGCTGCTCCAGACGAGCCCACTCCTGCAAGGGCAGCCCTCCCAGCCCCCCACAAGAGGCCAGGCGGAGAGGGTAGGGCAGGCCCTGGGCCCCCAACTCCCTGTATATCTGTATAAATGGATGGGACTTTAAAGGCGCCACCCACATTATCACTGTGTGATAGTCTGTCTGTCTCCTGGCTCCACACTTTGCCTCTATTTATTTCACTCTGTCTGGGTTCCCTCACTGCACCCTTGGTCCCTCCCCCACCCCCCTACCTTCAGGCCCCTGTTTATAAGCCTCAACCCTCACCTCTGCCCTGAACTTGTATGTGAAAACTTGTCTCAATAAACCCTTTGGAGTAAGATGGGTGCCATGCCACTGAACTTGAAGGGAGGAGCTTGGCTGGGGGGCGTTTGGGGAGAGGAGGTCTGATGGGTTTGGAGTTTCTTGTGGTAGGATGAAGAGGCAGAGGGGCCAGAGAGCCTGGGTGGGGTGGCTGTGGAGGGGCGGAAGCAGGGGCAGGGGACCGAATCTCCGTGTGCCCTCCCCAGGGGCAGGCTGCAATGAGAGTTCAGCTACAGACCATGCCTGACTGGGCGCTTGAGCCCGCCAGCTAGCACCTTTCATTCCCCACCCATGCCTTGGTAGACCTGCCATCCATGCTGGGAAAGCTCCTAGAGGACACAGGTAGCCCAGCCCCCACAGCACATGGGGTCCCTTCCTTCCCCTCCCAGGGGTCATCTGTGCAGCTGCTGGGAGCCAGGCCTGAGCTCAGGCCTTTTATCTATAATCATTTCATGGTCCCCAGGACCTCGCAAAATGCCCCCCCCCCTTGCTACAGGGATGAGGCAGGGAGGACTTACTCAAGGCTTTGGCAGGTCAGGGATTTGGGTTCCAGTCCTGTCCCTCTGCTGCGAGGCCTCCCTTCTTCCTAGCCAGGCGTCCCCACGTGATTCCTAGCTTGTGAAGCTCATCCCCCTCAGGGTAGAGGGTAAAGAGCTCTGTTCCTGGTGCCCAGGCCCACGGCACCTGAGGGTGCAGGTGGGCTATGTGGGCTACGTCCTAGGGACAGTTTGGCATCAAACTGCGAGTCACCAGCCCATCTGGAAAGCCTGGGCCACCGCGGCTGCTCATAGCACGTGGCCTTGCTCCACCCACTTCCCTCAGGCTCCCAGCTTCCCCAGGTGGTGGTTTGGGGTTTCACTCCAGCCTCAGACTTCCTTCCTCAGCCCCAGGCCCCCGGATGTGGTGATGGAGTCCACACCACCCTCCTCAGCTGCCCCACCACTCCTGAGCCAGTAAGGGGGCTCTTTGCAGCCCCCATGCCCACCAGTCCTCTGGCCCCAGCTCATGGCCAGGCTAGAGGCATCATCTGTCAGGTGATAAGACAAGTCATGGCAGTGTAGCTTCTGCTTCCTGCCGTGCGGGAAAAGAAATCAAGTCAGAACTGCTCCTGAAAGGGAATGGAGGTGCGCCCACCAGAGCCCGCACACAAGGAGGCCCTCAGGAGTAGATGTTTCCCGGTAGGTTGGCTCATCAGAAGGAACAAGCGACCCTAGAAATCATGCAGCCCTGAGGTGCCTCCCCTTTCTCCAAACGCACAGCCTCCAGCCCCCAAAGAACTGCTGTGTTTCCACCTGCCTTGCAGCACAGAGACCCTGCGTGTTAGGTCACAGCCCCGGGGAGTAGCCAGAGGGGGCTCTTGGAGGGGCCTAAAGTAGGGAAGGGCACGGCCCCAAGAGATTGCCTTCTGGATCTCATCCCTCCCTGGCCTGCCCCTCAGCCCTGTGGGCCTCCACAGGCGTTGGGGGGCACAGATGGAAGCCAGCTCCATCCTCTCTGCACCATGCAGCTCGGCCCCCCGTCTTGAGACAGACCTGAAGCCAGGCCTCGGTCCTCCCACCTGGGAACTGGGTTGGAGGTACTTTGCAAACGTGTCCTCGGCTCCGGCTTGGGGGGCGGGGCGCGGGCCGGGGTGACGCTGGGGGCCCGGAAAGCAGACCGGACTTGACACCCTATTTCCGACCCTCGCCCCAGCGGGGAGCGCCGGATGCGGGCCGGGCGGGGCTCCCCTCCTCACAGGACCACGGAGACCCCGTGCGGGGTGACGGCGGCCCCGCCCCCCGTCCGCTCCGGGAGAGAAGTTAACTTCTCAAACCCGGGTGCTCTGGAGGGAAGAAGGGGTGCCCCTGCCGCCCCGCCCCACACACCCCAGGTCGCCGGGTCCCCGGGCCCCCGCCCGTCCCGGCCCGCGGGCCCGCCCTCCCCTTCCGCCCCCACTCTCCTGCCCCGGGCCGGCCCCGCCCCGCGACGTCACGAGCCCCGAGTCGATTGGCTGACGGCGCCATCGCTCCCGACACTTCCTCCTGGGCCGCCGCCGCGTACTTAAACTTTGGAGGGGTGGAAAAAAAGAGGGGCCCGCGCCGCGCGACCCTCCCTTGACCCCCCCGCCCCGCCCCGCCTCCGGTAACGCCCCTTCCCTGCGGCCCCGGACCCCAACTTTTATCCAACTTGAGACCCGTGAGGTTCCCTGCTCTCTCGTCCCGGCCCCGGGGACCCCTCTGTCCATCCCTGGGCTGGATCCTTAGGACCCACTGGCTCCCCAACCCAGAGACTTCTGTCCTCGACCCCCAACGTGGCCTATTTAGTGAGATCCTGGGTCTCAGAGCCACTGTTCCCCGAGATCGGATCCCCCCTGTTCCCCTCTCAACCTCTTCTTTCTCCCACGGGGCTCTGGATCGCGGGATCTCTTGATCTCTGAACCCTGACCTACTAGGTTTTCCTGATTTCTTGGCATCTCTCGATCGCTGGATCTCCCTCCCTCTACCACCACCACTTGTCTTTCTGATGGTCTGTGATCCCGTGATCCCAGGCGTGAGATCCACTAGATCTCTCTCTCTCTCTCTCGTTTTCCAGAATCCCGCCATCCTCTGGTCTCTCATCTGGCCAGTTATCTCCTCCCGACTCCCTGAGCTCCTCCCCTAGGTCCCCTGGGATCTAGGACCCGGTTTTCCAGGACTTCCCCAGCCGGATCCCGGGTGGGCCACCGGGTCCGGACCTGCCCCCCATGGCCGCTGCCCCCACCCATCCCGCCGGGCTCCCCGGCTCTCCGGGGCCGGGGTCTCCTCCGCCCTCCACTGGCTTGGAGCTTCAGTCGCCACCCGCGCTGCTGTCCCAGGGCCCGGCGCCGGGCTCGGGGGTCTCCTTCCACATCCAGATCGGGCTGACCCGCGAGTTTGTGCTGTTGCCCGCGGCCTCCGAGTTGGCCCACGTGAAGCAGCTGGCTTGCTCTATTGTGGACCAGAAGGTGAGGCTGGGGCTCTCCGATCCTGCTTGGGAAGAGGCCCCCAGCAGGGGGGCGCGGGCAGAGGGTGGGGGGAGGAGAGGGAGGCCCTGCTGGACGACTGGGAAAGGCACTGGCCCCCAGTTGAGTCCTTACCCCACTACCAAGGTTTGGGGAAGGCCAGGGCAGGGGTGGGGTGCCCCAGAGGCCTCCTCAAATTGCGAGTCCCTGCATGTTTGTTGTTTTCTGCAGCGGGGAGGGAGGAAGGGAGGTGCCCGTCCGGATTTGTATAGGAAAGAGGCAGGTAGGGGACAGCAAATGTGGGGGACCTCCCTCCCCACCCAGAGTCCCCCACTTGTTGGAAACAGTAGAAACCGAAGCCGGGCTGGCCGTGGGGATCGGGTGACATGTGTGGGTGTAGGTTTTTGCACAGATGGCCAGGGCAAGTGAGGACTCAGGACCTGATAGATCCTTCTCCTCCCCCAACCTGATGTGTGTACAGAGGCAGATGCCCTCCATGTCCTCCTCAGAGATTGGGGGGGGGTGTTTCTGAAACCTCTCCTAATCCCTGTGCCCCTACTAGGCTTGAACTCAAGAGTCTGGGCACTGTCCCTTAGCTTTTTCCTCCAAAGGCTAGAACCCTAGCACTTGGACCACAGCTCTACTTCTAGCTTTTGGCTGGTTAATTGGAGGTAAGAGTCTCAGATTTTGCTTTGAGTATGCAGAGCTCAGCCTCCTGAGTTGCTAGTATGACAGACATAGCCACCAGCGCCTGGCTTTGTTCTTAAACTTTATAGACTTCAGGGTCTCCCAGGCCAAGCCTGTGGGGTCATGGTGAGAGAGATGACCAAATGGGCCTGGTTCCCCAAATCTTTACATTGTTAAAAGTTTGAATAGTGGGCTTCTATGCTCTTCATTTACCAGCTTCTGAAAATTGGAATTTTTAAATTTGAAATAGTGGCAATATGTTTCCTAGGTCATCAAAATCCTCTGACATTAAAATATTCAAATCTTGGAATGGTTTATTGAAATGCTCCAATGCTATGATATCTAGATATTCTAATCTTCCTTTGATATACACAAAGCACTTGGAAATATTTGATGACTGCTAATCTAGGTCATTAAAATCCTCAAATGTACAATAACAATCATTAGAATTCAGGGTATATAATTGTGAGCATGTTGGGAGCATCAAACATCCAGGATTTCCTCAACTCCCTAAAAATGAATTCTTTGGGCTCCCCCAAAGAAACAGAAAAGGAAACTGTTCAAGTTTAGGAGAAGACCTTCCCTGGGTACCAAGGCCAAGCAATCCTTGGTTTTCTGTAGAACACTAAGGCTTATAACTTGTTTGTTTGTTCTTTTGAACTGCCAAATCCCCAAATCTAGCAGGCCCAGACCCCATCCCCCAAGTCAGCCTGCCTGCTAGGACTGCCCTGCTGGGGGTGGAGATTGTCCTCGGGTACAATTCTTTGTCCTCCCAGCTCAAAGCTCAGCCCAGTTTCTTCTGCCCAGGTGCGGCTGGGCGCCCTCCCCCCTCTCTCCTGCCCTCCCTCAGCACCTCACCTGGGCATTTTGTTTCACTTTCTATCTTACCAGTTGCATTTCCTGCCCTGACTCCCCAAAACTGGGTCCCTGACACCTGGGTTATGTGTATTTGGGGCAAAGAACAGCCTTTCCAGCAAGCCTGCATCTTCCCTGCCCCCCCCATTACATTAATCCAAAATCCCCTTCTCCCTCCTCCCCAGTGCTGGGCCTAGAGCCAACTATCAGGGACAATAGATCCAGGAAGGAAGCTGGGGTGTGGGGGACAGAGGAGGGGGTGCTTACTCAGGGGGGTCCCCTCAGGTCTAGCTGCTCCCAGAGCTGCCCAGCATCAGACACCAAACTCAGGCCTGTGGTCCCCCTCCCAGCACACCTGGAGCCCCCACATCCTGCCCTGCCCCCCGCTGGGGCTAGGAGGGGACAGACAGGAAGCAATGGCCTGGGGGGGGTGGTGTCTGAGTTTCCAGAGGAAACTGCCAGCCACCCCCCCAGGAGGGTTCCAGGC